TCTGAAAACATTCAGGGAAGTTTATAATTCAAATATGAATTATACATGTTTGCTGTAAAGGAACCTAGACACTCAGACTCATTCTGTCTTGGTCTGTCAGAAGTCAGGAGTACAGCTGTAATGCTGCGGGTGTGTTTATCATTGAATTCCTGCCCCAAGTGTTTCTATCAAAATTGGCTGAGTTGCACAGTGCCTGTGAGTTGGGGCACTGCGACCATCATTCTGTTCTTAGGCCTCTCAGGCCAAGAATTTATGACGTTTCCTCTACTAGTGCTTATTTAGAGGATATCCTTTTACACTGTTGTTTACCATAATTCATCAACAAGAAAAGCAACACATTCTTGGAAATCACAAAGAGGTCAAGAAAAGGAACTTCATGTCAAACATGCATAAAGAGCTAAACCCCTTCCTCGCCTTGTTCTTTTATTGATTAATTTACCTCAAAAAAGGACTACACACAAATAAAACAAGCACACTTGCATTCAAGCCCTACATTTTCTCCTCAGAAACTCAAGGCTATTAATAGCTTCCACTAACGACTACATCAGCCCTCTGCTGAGACAAATAATGGCACAAATAGTGACTTAGCAAAACAGCATCTCAACAGGGAGGAAGATGACTGGTGCTCAAGCATAATCCTCCTCCTGCAGCTGGCTTCTGGTTCAACAGCCACCATGGATTTCTTTTGCTAGCCCTTCCACCACTGTGGAAATCTGCTAATCTGACCACGGCGAGATGCACGGCTCGGCGAATCACATACTCCATTTCACGTTGGAAAAGCAGCTGGGAGCTGATGCCTTGAGCCAGAACACAGGCACATTGTGATTTGACATGAACGGTCTGCCCAGGTCATAGGCTCGTTGATAAAATAACACAGTACATCTTTCATTTTCAGAAAAGGTGTTTTAGAGCACTGTTTCTCTTACATTCTTCATCCCTGGTACAATTACTCCTTTTCTTAGGTTTCTTGCTGACCTGCAGACTTCCTCTTTTAAACACTTAGACACACTTACCACTATGTCCCCAACCCACTAATCTCTGTTTATTGCTCTCTGTAACGTACACAGCCTCTGCTGACCAGGAACAAGGCAGTAAGTAAGAAAATTGCAGAAGACTCACCTTGAAATAGAAAGGCTCACCCAACCGCCTGCTTAAACTGCCCGCTGCATCCCTGGTTGTTTCTAGACTGGATTCTGAGTCTTGCTGCCCATGGACGACTGCTGCTTCCCGCCGTCGCTCTTGGCTAGTATCTGCACAGGTGTAAATCCAGAGCAGGACAAGTCCCCAGTTCCTCTCTCCTAACTTGAGGCCATCAACCACAGCTCTAGCCTCCCCCAAGCCATCACTTCGAACTGATACAGCGACATCAGCCAGAGCAGCCCCGGAGCTCTACCCTGCAGGTACCGGGCGGTCAGCTCCTCCAACACCAGCAAACCTTTACTGGCTATCTTAGGTGCAGAGATCACATTCCTGACCAGGTTTCTCGGTGGTTCAGCTCAATTACAAAGCTGAGAGATAGCAGAAAGGGAGGAGAAGACCACATTTTGTTTCCTCTTTGCAGCCAGGGGTAGCCTCCATAGGCCCTAAGCCTGCCTCTGTTTCCTCACCCTCCTGCTGAAGGAGAGAGAAGGTGGCACAACAGTATTTCCTGCCTTAAGCCAGGCATTATGGCTTTTTTATCATGTCTCATAATAAAGTAAGAATTCCCAGATCCCAACATTGTCTCCCATCCTGTCAAGGCAAGCCACCACTTGACCTCTGCTGTGGTGGAAAAACAGCCTTCCACACAGCAAGCACAAACATCCGACTCCCCAAACTCACTTGTTGCACATCCCAACCCTTTCCTCTTCACCCTCGGGAGCATCTTAAAACTTGGCAGAGGTAATCTGTGGCAATGATCAACAAATACTGGACTGAGAATACAGCAGTTGCCATACATATCAGCCTAACCAGCATCCTCTTCCCAACCCCAGCAAACATGGGAGGCTCCAGATAGTCATGGCTGCCCCAATATCTTTGATACAGAGCAATTTTTTTTTTTTAACTAATCACATCAGCTCAGCCCTATGCTGAGTGTGAGGGTTTCTATATATTTTTAACAGCTGATTAATTCAACTCTTCTCAGCTAAGGTTGTTCTGTTACCATATGCAGTTCCTATCATGAGGGATAAGATCATTCTTCCCCTCCTCTCCCACCTTTCTTTGACCACTGCTCTGTAGAAGTATGCAGCAGTCATAGCCCACCTGCCCCCTCCCCACGAAGAGAGCTTGTTGAGCATCCTTCCACTTCAAAGCCAAGGAACAGTCTGTAGTTTAACCTAATCTGAATCAGAAAGCAACAATTCTTCCCCAGGAAGGAGAGAGGCTGACCTGGTAGCACTGCCTCTGAATCACCCCTCCTTGATTTCCTCTTAAGAAATCACAGAATGGTTTGGGTTGGAAGGGACCTTAAAGATCACCTAGTTCCAACCCGTTACCCCGGGCAGGGCCCCCTTCCCCCAGCCCAGGGTGCTCCCAGCCCCGTCCAACCTGGCCTTGAACCCTTCCAGGGAGGGGGCAGCCACAGCTGCTCTGGGCACCCCATGCCAGTGCCTCATCACCCACACAGGGAAGAATTTTTTCCTTAAATCTATTCTAAATCTATCTCTTTCAGTTTAAAACCACTACCCCTCATCCTATCCCAACACTCCCTGATCCAGAGTCCCTCCCCACCTTCCCTGTCCCCCCTTTAAGCCCTGGGAGGCCGCTCGAAGGTCCCCCCGGAGCCTTCTCTTCTCCAGGCTGAACCCCCCCAACTCTCTCAGCCCGGCCTCCCAGGGGAGCTGCTCCAGCCCCTCCAGCATCTTCGTGGCCTCCTCTGGCCCCGCTCGAGCAGCTCCGTGTCCTGATGTTGGGGGCCCCCGAGCTGGACCCAGCACTGCAGGGGGGTCTTCCCAGAGCAGAGAGGGAGAATCTCCTCCCTCGCCCTGCTGCCCACACTGTGGCTCTGGATGCAGCCCAGGACACGGTTGGCTTTCTGGGCTGTGAGCTCGCATTGCTGGCTCACAGTCAGTTTGCCATCCATGAATACCCCAAAGTTCTCCGCAGGGCTGCTCTCAATCCACTCATCACTCAGCCTGTATTTGTGCTTGGGATTGCCCTGACCCATGTGCAGGACCTTGCACTTGGCCTGAGAAATGCTGCAAGACTTCCTCATTGGTTGTCCCAGAACATACTTTGACATAGGCAAGAGGAACAACAGCAACTACAATAAGCCAGGCTTTATTTACCAACCCCAACTCAGCCTTGTTGAAGCGTTAGATGTCTGTGACTCTCCAGTAAAAATGTGCATCTTGATTTCAGGCTTTGATTGAGGCTGGAAGCTTGCAAGTGAGAAATGTTTACCTAGAAAACTTCTAACCTCCCTTCCGAGCTGCAGCACCGAACGCCCTGCATTAATGTTTTACAGGCACATAGAAAGCAAGCCACCCATCCCAGCCAGGCGTGGAGAAGGACAGGTTATTAAATGCAGCTTTAAATGTTTCCCGTAGTACCGGTTCTGTTATGCAGTTTTGCCATCTCATTCCAGGTGAAGTATGAGTCAGAATACTGTAAAGCTATTTTTAAAAGATCTCTCAGATCTACAGCTGTATCCCAGCGACAAATTAGAAGAAACATTCACTGTTGATACAAGTCATGCTGACATGCAGAGTTGCAGATCACAGGACAGAGAGGAAATGAGGGAACAGGGTTTTATTTTTAAAGATCTATGACCTGGGATGGTGGTGGGAAGAAGATCACCTGATGTTTATTTTGGGCCTAGAAAAGTAAGCATACTCACTGTAAATGTGAGTTTTTCTCAGAGACGATGTTTCAGACACATACGAGATTTTCCAAGGAGCAGAGGAAGACCACATCTTTCCTAAATTTCAGTGCCACGTCCGTATCTATATCCTGAGGACTGCTTTGAAAGTTTGGCTGCCTGATCCTGCTTTGCTGGCAGAGGAACGAAACAAGCAACGAACAGATCCTGTGTCATCCCACACCGCCCGGGAGCGGCACTTGGTTTTCTGCTGCTCTCTGCTCCGAGGCTGCGACTTTTTTATCTCCTTTCTTTGCCAACTTCAGTGCTAACGCATCCCAGCCCCACAGCTGTTCTCAATCTGTTAAGCTACTGCTCCAAAACTGCACATCCCTGAGAGAAGCACATTTTATATACAGGCTGGTTCCCTGCCCTGGCTTGCAGGGACAGCTACGTGGTCACAGGGACACGGTGATTTATCTCCACAAACCCTGAAACCTCTCCACTTCAGTTTTCCTTGCCATTATGCTCTCTCTGTTGGCCTTCGTGGTTTGAGAAGAGCACAGGAGGCGGCCTGTGAAGCAGCTCCCCACAGTGTCGTCCTCAGCACAGCGTTCCCATGGAAGCATCCTGGGAGCATCAACGCAGAGCCTCCAAAGCCGCTGCTGAAACCACCTGCAGATGTGCTTTGGACATAAACACAAGCTTCTCCTCCCGCCCGTGAGGATCAGGAGCGTGAAGATGTGTTGGAGGGAAATGCAAACCCAAGGGCTAGAAAGGCTCACCTCACTCAGCTCCTGCTTTTTAGGGTAGTCCTTAATGTACCTTCAGCTGCCTGCCTGCAAAGGCACCAGCACGTCCAGACAGGAGAAACCCCTCGCCCAGGGTTGGCCAGACATGGTGTCTGTGTTGGCAGCATCTGGTAAACAGTCCCCAGCAGCCTGCACACAAGCCATCGAGTCAGTGCTGCAAGACAGTGCTCTGCCCATGTAGACAGGACTCGCCCTCGCGTGACAGGAGGACCCTTGAAGCTGTCCCACAGCCAGTGTCCAGCCTGCAGCAGGGGCTGCCATGCGCGCTTTGTCCCCGTTCAGTGTCGCTGTGCAACGGTCAGGGCGCTGCTGCTGAGGATTTGCTCGGGTCGGAGCTTCCCAAGCAGGTGGCAGAGCAGGAGGACACCAAGGCTTAAAAGTGACAATGCAGGAAACACCCTGCTGTCTCCGGCGCTGCTGGGTGCCAGGACTTCATGGTCTGCAGATATACTCATCGGACCAGCTGAGGCAGTGCTGGACACCGTCCCGGCACAGCCTCCTGGGGATGCAGGAGCAGTACTCGTAGAGCACAGGGCTGCAGCTCCACCACTCCGACCCGCACGGGGGACAGGCAGCCACTGGGAGGGACGGAAAACAGGGAACAGAAATATTTCTGCTCCACTGACCCCTTCCCTCCTTTCTTAGGTGCGTAGCTACCCTTTCACCCCTTGGCAGCTACTGAAGAGGCACTGGTGATGACCCTGTGCCTGTGAACCCACCAGAAAGGACACTCACTTGGTGCCATTTGTGGGAGACAACCACGGAGCATGACATTGTTATGACCTTCATGGCAGACATGCCACCCTGGGTGGAAAAACTAGCTGTCCTTTATTTTTTTTTTTAGCAAGCTGCTCTAGAGAAAGCTGCTGATATGGGCAAGTCTCGCCCAAGGTTCCAAACCACAGGGGTGACCTAGGAACAAACCTGCTGCTTGTTTTAGTGAGAGAAGGATCTAGATGGATTTGAAGCTGTTGAGGCACGCTCAGTCCCCCCCATCTCAGACACATACCCATCTCCTGACCAACAACCAAAGGCCAGTTTGAATGGTCACTGCTGCCTACAGCTACACACCACGATGAAACTCCTCCAACACTCAGCAAGCCACAGAGGAGGAGCGACTGTTGGGGCTGGGAGAAAAGCACGGAGCCTTTCCCCTCCCAGTTGCCATCAGGCTTTGACACAGAGCCCTTGGCAGCTGATGGGATGGAGCCTGCATAGTTCATACTCATGTCCTATCCCAGCTATTTTGTGTTTTAGCAGTGGATGCCAGCCTCCAGGCGTTTCCAGCAGCATCAGTGAGCACTGCATTTGTACAACCTATTTCAATCCATCAGCAGAAAAGACCTTTTGCCCAACAGTAGCCAGAAGAGAAACTTACAGCTCCCCATCTCGTCGGAGCAATCTCCGCAGTCGTTCATCCCGTTACACCTCTGATCAGCATAGACCCAGTATGCAGGGTTACTGCAGCGGAAAACCAGGTATCCCGGGAGGCTGCGGGGCAAGTCACCTGCAAGGGTGGACACACAGGACACGTGTTCAACTCCACCGGGCTCAGATGCACGGGTTAAAACGGGGATGGCAGTTACCAAAGGCTGCTGTCATGGGGGAACAGTCAGTCCTTCCCCATGCGGTGTCAGGGCATGAACAGCAGGATGGGGAAGCTGCAGTTGGAGAGGGAAAGGGATGTTCGTGGCTGAGCTACAGAGTCTAGGCACCCCAGGCCTTCTGCTTTAATGAGTTTTTTTCCAGGGTAACTGGACAATAAATTAACCATATAGGCATACAGCATAACCAATGGAGGAAAACTGCATCATGGTTTAAAAAGAAACCCTAGGGAAGATCCAAGGAGCTTGGAGTCTGATTCCTGGCACTCCTGATGGATTTTGAGCAGGGCCATCTCTCAGCATCTACCCTAGAAAGGATCTACCAGACTTATCTGCTCACATACATGGTCAGAAGCATGGAGTGGGATTAGGGAGACACTGGTTGCTCTGTCTCACAACAGGAAGACCAGCACAGGGAGGAGAGTCACAACTAAACCACTCACCACAGAGTTTCTCCTGCTCATCCTCTCCGTTCCTGCAGCTGCTGACTCTGTCACAGACCTGGCTGGCTGGAACACAGGTTGCTCTGTCATCGCACAAGAAGCCTGTCCGGTTATTGGAGGCTGTACAGAAGCGGTTCACTGAAAGGAAAGCAAGAAATACTCTATTTTCCAACATTTTCATAGTATGAGGAACATATCAAGGGGAAGAAAGGAGGATTTTCAGAATTCATTTGTTCTGGAAATAACCAGGGGCCAAGATTAATCTCTGGTAACTCCATGGCAGAGTCTGAAAATTATACCAGTAGTATGAAAAATAACTGTGCCACCCAGAGTTGCCACAGCCCTGTGGAGCAGGACACTGGAGCCAAGGAATAGCTGGTGGCGACTCGGGCTGTGCAAGGCTGGCACAGCCCCACACCTCCCTGCTGGTCCCTTTCCTTCCCCCCGATTGGTGCCGGCAAGCACCACTTCATGCCCGGTGATGGACACAAAGGTTCTTCTCACGCAACATCATTTTCTCCCTCCCTTACCAAAAAAAAACCAAACCAAAACAAAAACCCCACAAGCCAAAAACTGACTCTTGGGATACCAACCTGGCAGACGTGGCAGGAGTCCCAGCGCCACAGCCAAGCCCACGATGGCAGCGAGGACGAGCAGCGCGGCGGCAGCGAGGCAGACGCGTCTCCACGTGCAGCCCCCGCGGGCACTGCACGGGTGGCAGCAGCCTGTTGGGAGCCAAGAGCGAGAGGTGAGGGGCTGGGGAAGGGTCTGGCAGGGCTGAGCCAGGGATGAGGGCAGGTTGGTGTAAGGCTGGGAGAGGTGATCTCCCAGACCTCACAGCAAAACTCCTCAAGCGGTAAAATTTCATTTCACAGCACTTCGGGTTTTCTGCCCCAACCAGGACTTTAATGTTCCCACAGATCGAGGCTGAATTATCAGTGCAAAATGGTGAGAACTGGCTGAAGAGCAGCCCTTTCCCTCCCCAAAGACATTCCCAGGGTAAAACGGGCAGCAACTTTCCAGGGACTCCAGCTTTCAGAAAGTCACGTACATAAATCAAACCAAATCTGTCACCTAAAGGCCAAGCCCACAGTCACTGCACCACAACAGCAGCGCACGTAAGAGCAATGTCGATCAGCTGCCCCCGCTGCAGCTCTCTGCAGCACTGGTGCTTTGCCTCTAAACCAATATCGTATTTTCTTGCATTCTTTTGTATTTCCAGTCCAACAGAAGAAAACCAAATGTGATCACCTGAGAAAGACGTAACCAGTCACTTAAGACAAACCTGCATGCATAATTGGATTTTGGTATTTCTGAACGTAAAGAGTTTTGATTGAAAAGTTAGAATTAATCTTAGCTGTGCTTTGTATTTCCTTAGTTGTTGTGTTGTACAAACACAAGTGAATATACATCCTTTGCTCAACAGCAAAGGGGTCCTGGCTGCAGTAACCACCCCCTCAGTCACACCTGAGTGAGAATCAAACATGGAACGTTTCATCTTAAAAGTGGTGAATTACAGTATGTCTGTGTTTACAAGACAACACTTTTGACCAGAAAGCACAACAGTTGCAAATAAATATGCATGAGTATAAAATAGCAGCAGTGATGAAATGTTGTTGCAAACCAATCTATAGGTTTGCTATTGATTCTGTTTGATCTCAACTTCCCCTCCTTAATATGGACAAAATTTGCTGAAGTTAAAACATAGAAAGCCTACAGCAAGTTCATTATGAGCCTTTCTGTGACAGACAAGGATTACCTATCCTGCTAGTATGCCATAAGGCTGCCAACTCCAGGCAAACAAAGAGCAGCTTAAATTTATTAATTTTATAGTCTGGACATTTCACTACACAGAAGGGGGGGGGGCAGGCGGGGAGGGAGGGAATCAGTCTCAACAGACCAAAAATACTGGTTGTATTTCACATTACATAGATAGTTTAAAGTGATTGATACTTTAATAATAAAAATGTTAAGCTCTGCATTTTATTTGTTACCTCTTTCTTCAGAGAAGGACTTTGTTGAATCAGGAGTAGCTACATCACCATTTCTCTAGAAGGAAAAGAATAAAAGACTATTTACAGAAGCTGCATGCAGTAACCGCACGAGGTGTGACTTTCTAGTTGTCACACCATCTTACAGGAAAATATAATGCATTCCTTTATTTTTACATACAAGCAAAAATAGTCTTGGTGGAAACGTGGCCCAGATTTAATTCACAAAGCGATCAATGAAATCACCTTTTAAATCTTAGTTAATCATTTGTAGAAACAACCACTAATGCAAGTCCAGTGCTTTATATCAATACTTTCCTTTTGTATGAAATTAGGTTAAGTAGAAAGGACTCAAAATCTCACAGAAACTAGTGATAAAGAAGTCCTAAACACTGTCAAGAACATGTACTTCAGGAACCAGCTGCATGTAAGATTTTTCCAAAGAGAAGGACTGTACCTGCGGGTGAGTTTTGTTCATGCTTCCCAGAGCTACAGCCCTCCCAGCAGCTCAAAGGACCGCAGGGAGTTTTCTGCACCTTAACACGAGTGATGTTACCAGGTTACAAAACCCAACAGAGGTAGGAAAGCCAGGAGCTTGCTGCTGCCCAGGCACGTAAGCAAGAGAGGAAGGGGAAGGCAGCACTGAGCCCGTGCTCCAGCTCTAGTTGGAAATGGGGTTTTCTGGTTTGTTTCTCACTCCTCCTAGCTCCATCTTGGTTTCACAACAGGGCGTTTAGGCAAAGCATAATGGACATGATGATTCTGGGTGCCAAGAACCCTGCCGCCACTCCTGATGCCAGTTCAGAAGATGAACTCTCACCACTAGCTGATGCCAACTGCATTTACCTCGGCACCGGTCAGGGAGAACCCCCTTTCAGAAAGAGAGTTTGAGGGAAGCAAGTCCGATCATCTTCATGCAAGTCTCCTTTCTCTCCACCTCTCCTTCCCAAGACAGAGTTGACACAGACCTCACAACAGCATCGGCCCAAACTCTTGCAAGATGATCAGATCTCAGCAGAGCTGTGCAGGGTACAGCCATCTGGAATAGCTTCCCTGTTTGGGCAACGCGCACAGACACAGCAAACCCTCCAGGGTCCTCTCTTACTTGTGTACTTGAATTTCCAGGCCTGCAGCTACATCTCAGCAGCTCAGCCTGTAGCAAACCTCAACTTACCGATTGCAGCCTTCTAAACTGGCTGCAAGTCTCAGCACGGCACACGCAGAATGGAGTTTTGGAGCTTCAAGGATAAAACACCATGAGCAGGCAGCTTTGCCACGGGGGTAGGGGGGAGAGAAACCGCTGGCATAAGGTGTTTGAGGAGCTCGTGTTCTTGCTTGCAGGAAGGTCCAGAGGCCTCAAGTGCCTCCAAACTGTTGCCACCTCACAGATCACAATTCCTCCCCAAGCACAAGCAAAACTGGCTTACCAGGGCTTCTGAGGAGAAGCTGGCAGCAATATTGCCTATCAGTTGGCTCCGAGACAGTTGCCTCGAATTGATTCTAAGCACTGACACGGAGGAGCAATTACAGCTACTCCCCTCTCCATCCCCACACATATAACTCATTCTTGATTCCATTAGCACTGAGCTAATGTACGCTTCTTGATAAGGGCATCTGCCAACCCTGCGCTCACCTGTTCACAGACCAGCCAGAATTAAATACAGTCTTTTAGAAGCTCTTCCTTTGGCATGGCAACACCAGCTTGTTCAAAGCAGAAGCTTCTCACAGGAATACATCACTGTTAAACTTGGTGCTAGGAAGCTCTCCTGCTCCAAGGGGGATTTGGAGTGAAAACACTAAATGACGAGTAGCAAACAGTCTGCAAGTCTGGGTACCTGCTACAACACGGAGGAAGACTAAGGGTTAAAACCTGTGTATCTTCAATTCTGGATTGTTTTCTCTTTAATGAGGAAGTTTCAGTTTCTCATCAGACTTCATACAGAAGGACTACTTCAAGCCTTCAGAAAGCTTATTAAGTGACTGTGAGTTTACTGAGTTCCATGTAAGCCAGGCCAAGCAGGCTAACTATGCACACCCCACGAAACAATCTATGATGAAAATGTTTAAAATGTGGAGTAAACCCACTCTCAGAGGCAAATGTTCGTAAGACCTAACATCTACCACCACCTATTTCCTACACCAAGATTATCAAGTTCAGCTGTAGCCAACCAGGCAGTTGGGTTTTAGAGCAGTTATCCCACATCAAAAGCTGCTTATAGTTCAGAAAAAGTTCATGAGAATGAAGAAAGAAACTCATGCAAGCCCTTCTGAAGTGAAAAACAAACAAACAAACAAAAAACAACAACAAAAACCACACACACACAGAAAAAAAACAACCAAAAAACCCCCAACTTTGCCAATGATGAGAGAAGCTGAAGAGGGAACGCAGATCAAGATACCCAGTATGAAAGGAGACTATTGTTAATTCTAGCACCTAAAAAAAATCACCAAGCACCCACAAATGTATCATGGCTATTTCTGACAGCAATGAATTCCACACACTTGAGAGGGTTGCCTCATTTGTGTCAAGATGATTACATTAAAAATCTGATACATGTTCAGTTGAACACATGCCTAAAGAGAATATAAAATGCTTTCCACCTGCCATTTCAATAATTTAAGGCCCTTCATTTAAACAGTGGTCTGGAGCAGAGATGAAAGCCAAACTGCAGCCTCTGAAAATGAAGATGTCAGGAAGTCAAACACTGAACAAAAAACGAGTAGGACAAGCCATTTTGTAAAGTCAAATGCCAAGATAGCTTAAATAGGCCATTTAGATTAGAAATCTTGAGAACAGTTCAATTACTGCAGCCTATCTAATATCTGATGTTACTGAGGGAAGACACTTTGACAAGAGCTTACAAGTACAACACTTCACCAGTTCTTCACTCTGGCTCACTCTGGAAACAGCAGTGCCACACGACAGATTGCCACGGGCCGTTTCCTATGACCTAACAGCACATTACTGAACCACTGGCTTCACTGCACAGATTAGTGAGCTGAAATGTCATTAAACAGCGAACAAAAGACAAAACACGTTAAACTTGTGTTGAGTTTTCTCCCTTTGTTGTAGCCAGATACAATGCCATAGGAAAGCAGAAGTTGTTTAAGTCAAACCTAGGAATGTAAGCAACAGTCAAACAATTTGGAAGAGAAAATTTTGTGAAATCAAGTCATTAACATAACAGAGGTTGAACTGTACACATTTGAAACAGGCAAACAGCCATGTTTTCATGAAGCTGTAACCCTCCCTCTGCAACTACATATAACAGTAAACATTTTAACAGAATTGAAAACATTTTCATGTTGGTAATTCAGTTAGAAAAATTGGAATCGCTGAAGTTTCTTCTGGAAAGGCAATCCTCAACGTAGTGTTAAGAGACTGGCAATAATCACTAAAGTAAAGCCCACATTTACAAATGAATTTAAACATCCGTTGCACAGATCGCACTTGGTACTGCTTCCAGCACGGGCATCCTGCACCGAACCAGGGCTGTGCGCGGAGGTTTGCACTGCGTGAGCAGGAACACACATCTCAACCGACTCGCCACCACGATTTCCCACCCCTGGCATCGTGCAAGTGAACAGTATTCCAAAAACATCACACCATCCATTTTCACAAGTCACGCCTGAAGCCTTTACAATAATGTCATCTACACACAAAGATACCTGTCAGTGGCTGCTGGCACTAAAATTTCTGGGCTACAATGTCCCACTGAAGAATTTAGCATGAAGAGGTACCACTAATACATTCCTTCAAATTACAATTTCTGCATTTTGATAGAAGCCTGCTTAAAGCAAACATCTCTTAATGCTCTTAAACCCCACTGACAGAAAACTTGCTTGACTGCTTCTAGGCTAGGGTTTTCAGCAGTGCTGCACAGACCACTTAATGCACACTCCTGCTTAACTGGCCCTGCAAGGCCCCATCATCTGTAGTTACACAACCATCAGCTTGCAGCCGAATTAGGAATGACCACTGAACCAGTTTTAACAGTGAGCGAACACTATACCGCATCCTCCAGAACATCTACAGTTTTCACTAGAATTCAAAACCTGAAGAGGGTTTTTTTTGTTTGTTTTTTGTTTTTTTTTTTGTTTGTTTTGTTTTGTTTTTTTTTCAAACTTTCAAGAGAGTTTTTCATCATCAACAAACTATGATGAGGAGTTGGAGATCATGCATCCTAGCCAGCATTCAAACACTTACAGAGACCTTAAAATAAATCGCACACACCCCCAATTTGTCAACGCTATGGGAACCAACATACAGTAATCTCCTCAGAGAGCTGCAAAAAAATATAGTTGGAATATGAGAGACTGTTGTGGTTGTGTTAGTGAACTGTGTAGCACAATCAGGTGACGCTGCCCATGAGAGGAATGCTACAGACAGGCTTTCATACTGCATGTTATGGTCAATAAACATAGCAAAAAGCTATATAGTCAACATTTTCTATACAGTCAATTTTATTTGTCTGTTCTCATTTCTCAGAAATCAACTCGTTTTCTGTAAATGAAGTTACAAGACTAGAATAGGTAATCAAGAACAGAAAGTAGAATTTCTTCAGAAAACACAGGTGCTAACTTTACAAGCAATTTCAGACTTAAAGGCTAAATTTTGACAAAATAATTGACCGTGTTATGTTCTCTGTGTGAAGTGATATGTCCATAAGCTTTAACAAAGCTTCCATCTTTCACAAACTGAGTTCTAGCCTACAGTACCTCAACAAATGCTTTCCATCTTGGATATTGCCACACTGTAGAAAAAATATACTTCTATTTTTGGAGACCGGGTTGTTTGTGTATGGACATTAACAAGTACAAAAAAATCAGCAGATAATTTTATAATATTTTCTCTTAGCTACAACAGAAAGTGCAACACTAAAAAGGCATGTCCTGCCTACTTAAAATTTCTTATACCTTTACAAAGCTAACTCTGAATGTACACATTACATCCTAGAACACACAAATAAGTTTGAAAGTGTCATGGCATAAGTATGGAAAGCATGCTTACAGCTTTTGTAAGCAAAAAGACACATAGCAAACACCAGTGAGAAGTGATTAAGTCTGGAAACAAACATAAATTCAAGATGTCTGAATCTTCACTACTAGTTGAAAACAAAATCCCGTGACATCTGTTGATTCTCTAACTTTATTTGCATTTAAAGACTGGCTGCTAAGCTTCTTATCTGAAGAACAACCACAAACGATCAGGAGTTGCTAGCTCTGTCAGAATTAGTCTATTGGATCCAATGGAGACTTCTTTAAATTGCTGACTGAGCCAGATTGACTTTTGTAGGAAGAGGTCCTGCTTCTTCATGTTCCTCAGTCTTGCATCTAACCACAACAAGTGCAGAGGATGGATATCTGTTCAGTTTCTGTTCATTCATGTATTCCAAATCTCCATAGATGCTCAGCTTCTGAAATATTTAAATAATTTACTTTAAGACAAAGACTCTCCATACTGTGAATAAAATGCAT